GTTTAGTGGTGGGCTTGGCAGGGATACGTTAGCGGTTGGATTCGATCATCTTAAAGGTCTTTTCAACCTAAACGATTCAATGATTCTATCCTATGAATACTCAGGGCAGGGTGAGCCCATCCCCATCTTCTCCCAGGAGAAGGCACAGCTCCATCCACCAGTTCCTCACCTCGCTGAGTGCATCCTCCAGGCAGGCGGTGATGTCCTGGGCCAGGGCGACGGGGCAGCAGAGCCGGAGGTCATTGAAAGCAACAAGGAGGCCATTGAGGAAGCAGGCGAGGGGCGGGAAGTCCAGCAGCACCATGGGTGGCTGCAGCGTCCCCGGCTGGGCTGCGGGCACCGGCACGCCTGTGCTGCCCCCCAGGACGGCTGGGGCGGAGATGAGCGTGTAGGAATTCATCTCCTCCCGGAACTTCTCCACCGCCTCCTCCACCGCCTTCCTGAAAGAGGAGGCAGCCATCTGCTGGAAGAGGGGGGCCAGCTGCCCACGGAAATCGGCCCCCACCCTGCTGAAGGAGAGGCCGAAGTACATGCACTGCCCTAGCAGCGAGTCCAGGCGACCCCCGACGCCACGCTGGAGATTGTGCTCCAGTGTCCGCAGGAACTCGGAGACCTTCTGCAGCACCCAGCTGTGGAAGATGGCCCCCTCATTGAGGGCCTGCCCCTCGGTGGGCAGGAGTGGCTCCTCATCAGAGAAGATGGCACGATACTGGGTGACGATGTCGAAGAGGTGGACGCGATAGGCCTCAATGGTCTTGGTGATGTGGAAGTAGGGGTCGTCGTCGGGGATGGAGGCCTGGATGGAGCGCAGCCAGGTGTCCCGCGCCTGCAGAAACTTGATGCGCAGCTCGGCCTCCGTGAAGACGTCCATGCGCCGCAGGTAGCCGATGACCCGCAGGCAGGCGGGTAGCTGGATGTTGGTGCGGAGCTGCTGGATGAGCTGGTTCAGCATCAGCTGGGTGGACTGGCGCACCTCATCCACGATGCCCTGGGGCGGGAGAGAGGCCTCAGCTGTGGGGTTGCATATAGGGT